CTGAATTATCAGCCCATGACTAGAATCTCTTGGATCCTAATGTTCTCTATTCTTTCTGAAATGCTTGTCCTTAGATCCCTCCTCCCATTGTGGCATCTTTGCTTTTGACTTCGGAACAAGACTGTGGCTTGACCATGACTTCTAGCTGCCTTAGGCAACCTGATCAAGAATTTACTCAGGGGAAATCTTTATACAGACTCAAACTGGTAAGATCTAACTCTTTATAACTTCTCAATTGTTTCAATCAAACTCCAGTACTTAAAATTTCTGTGGCTATTAAAAATACTTTTTATTGGACTTCCGGGAGAACATGGTGGATAGATAGCAGCAGCTATGGAGTCTCTCTGAGATACCCCACTTAAAATCCAGGAATGGTGCAGGGTGAGAAGTCCTAAGCAAGGGGAGATATACCCTGCTGACCCAGGAATGAACGAAGAGAAACCAACTGGAAACGCAATCCCGGTGCTATAACAGGAACAGATAAGGTCTCAGCGTGGAAGCTGGAGCCCACGCCACTGGAAGCCGCAACTGGAATTTCCTGCAGCCGCTGCTGTGTCCCAATAGGCACGGCAAGGAGAGAGGCATGAAAGCTCTGAGAGTGGGAAGCAGTGAATGGAGTTGAGAGCAGGACTGGCCAGGACCCCTGCATCGACCTGCGGTGAGTGAGCAGATTAGGGACCCTTCCATAGAGAAGGAGGCTTCAGCAAAAGGCATACTGGGAAGGGGCAGACTAGCCAGAACAGCACATTGCAGTGTCCTTAGTTGCATATTCCCCTCTCAAGAGAGATTGGTGGGGAGTGCCTGGCATGGGTGTCACCACTGACTTAAGACCCAGTAGGCTAGCCCAAACCAGGTCCCAGCGCTTGGAGGTGCACCCTAGCAGTAAAGCCTTTGGTAGGTTGACCTGGAGGGGGAGGCCAAGCATAGGCTGCCCAGGTCTGTATCTCCCTAGTACACTGCAGTGGGCGGGAACACCTAGCCAGCACAATTCAAACAAACTGTAACTGACAAAGAAAAAAACTAGGCCTCCTATATATGCTTATATGGAAGGAACAAAAAGTATGGGAAGAGGGAGCAACAAGAAAGGGTCCTCGGCCCTCAATCCAGAGAAACATGCAACATCAGACACGGCACCAATAGACATAAAGCGATATCTCCAGAGCCTCATAGACGAGTTCAAAAATGAAACTATTAATGACCTAAAGCAAGATATAAATAGAATAGTTAGAGAAATGCTAAGCACCGCTCAAGAAAAAACAGATGGTGGAATGGAAGAACACAAAAAAAGGGAGAACTGTTTGATGGAGAAAATAGAGAAAACATAGAATATGAGAAGCAGGTTCAAAGAGATTACCAGGAAACTAAAAACTCTATCAAAAGCTGGCAAAACAGCTTGAAAGAAACTAAGGATAGATTATCTGAACTGGAGGGCAGATTTGTAATGTGGGAGCATGAAACAAAAAACTTCTTAAAAATAATAAGGAAACAAACAGCAATAATACAAAGGCTAGAAGATGATAAGAGAATCTATAACTTAAGAATTAAGAACATAAAAGAAGAAGTAGGGACGCAAACAAATGGACTACAAAAGCTATTCGCAGAAATAATCCAAGAGAATTTCCCTAATTTAGCAAAAGGTAAAGATACTCAGATGTATGAGGCATACAGGACACCAGCCATCTACAACCAAACAGAGCTACACCCAGGCATACAATAATCAAAATTTCAGGAATCCAATATAAGAACAGAATATTAAAAGCCGTCAGAGACAAGAAACAGATCACTTACAAGGGAACACCCATCAGAATTACGGCAGACTTCTCTGCATAAACCATCAAATCATGAAGAGCGTGGGGGGAAATAATTCAAGCTTTGAAAGATAATAACCTCCAACCAAGATTGTTATATCCTGCACAACTGTCCCTGGAAATTGATGGAAAAACAAAGTGCTTCCAGGATAAAGAGGAACTAGGGGAATTTGCAACCACCAATTCAACTCTACAGAGAATACTGCAGCATATTCTAAAGAAGGAAAATACCAAGATTCCAGAAATAGTGGCAGAGAGGCCACAATGAATGGAGCAGAAAGCGAAATGAAGAAGACAAACTGACAACAAATGACAGAACTCAACAGAAATGAGGCAGAGAAGATTGGATGGTAGGAACAGCTATTTTGGAGAAACAAGACATTATAATAGCTAGTGCTGATTTAGTATCATCTTGTTTTGAAGTCCCATCAAGCTTTTATTCTTCTGTCTCCATCGGTCTTAACAGATTGTATCTTATTGGATTATACTATATGTGATAATATAAGCAAAAACTTTTAATTACAAGGAGATTATACAGAAACCATTGTTCATTTTCTGTTAGTTGGTTCTAAAATTGCTGTAATAATGTCATTCTCTTCAATGGTTTTACATTGTCTGGATATGTTTGGTGCTACAGTATATGAAATTATACTCAAAGATTTCAAGGAAAGACACACTATGGTAACTACTTTTACGTCAGGATATCTTGTAGTGAAACACTATTTTGCTTAAATGGTTATGTTTTGACCTGTGCTGTTTTGTTGTTATGCCCTCTTTTATTTCAATCTCCTTTTTTAAATTATTTACTTTTTTATTTTTATCTTTTTAATTAAGGGAAAATAAAAAATTGCAGGATACATTATAGTAACCGACTTTGATTTCCTATTAACTTGATTTGAAACCCTGTATTGCCCTCACTATCTTGTTTTGACTGATTTTCCCCTTATTTTGCTTAGCTTGATAGTACCAAGTTCGAAAATATAGGCAACAACTGTGAAGACAATAAGATTCATTAAGACGCCCATTCTGGTTTGACTATTATCTTCTTTTAAAGTCCTGTAATGTCTCCAATATTTTGGTTGTACTCTTTACTGTTTTTGTTCAATTTTATTATAACTGATGACATAGGCAATTCTTCTTAAGATAGCAAGAGGCAGCATGGTAAACATTGTTGATCACCTAGTATTTTGTTTTTACATTATCTATTTTTCCATCCTTTTGATTTGACTGACTCTGTTCTGATATGTCGCATTTGGTTTTACCCTCTCTCTTCAAAAAAATTAATAAGAACTGTGGGAGTAATAAAACCCAAAATGTGTAATTGTCATTGTACAAAAGAAAAGAAAGTGCTCTAAAGTTATAACTGCATATATGTTTAAATGTGTAAGATAGATAACCATATTACTGAGTTTTGTTGGATCATTGAACAAAACTGTTGCAGTGTCACTGTTTGAAAGTCCACTTTATATGCTTTAATTTTGTAACTTGAACAACTATTTCTAAGATGACAATATGTAATCTATTAACTAGTGATTTCTTACTGTTTATTTTTAAAATTTTGTATTACTTGTACCCTTTTTCTGTTTTTTTTCTTTTTCTCCTTAAATAAAATTTAAAAAATACTTTTTATTTTGAACTTTTGTTTAGGAAGACTAAAATAATATTAATCTCTTTTTTTGTAAGTATTCTATAATATCCATACATTTTTACCTAAAGTAAAAATGTACAATACAAGAATTTGTACAGAGGAAGATATCCAATATTTCAGATGGTGGTAGTCTCAGGTGAATGAGGTCCACTGACAATTGCACACCATGACACTCATGAAATGCAAAACCTTCCGTAGGTATTGATTTGAAAATGTCTATAATGACCCATGAAATACCAAACCATGTTCTTTCAACTGAAAGAGAAAGAACAAAAAAGTGACATGTATATTGTAACCCTATGTGTTAAAAATATTCAGACAAATTTCAGATAAAAAAGGCTAAAAGACCTAGGAATATTTACAACTTAAGTGTTTACCCTGAGCATCATTAGAGAAGCACATTTGTTTACATTTAGACGATCATTCAGTCAGATGTCATTTTAACCCATCAATTCTTGAATTGAATAAATTTTACAATATTGTTATTTGATATTTCCTGTTACATTATGTTATAAACCTTAACAAAGATATGCAGTTTTGGTCATCCTGTATTTGAATAATTGAACTGATAAGAGGTTAACAAATGCTACTTATAAATGGTACTACAAGGGTTTTGCTTTTCGATTGTCTCCTTTATACATATTTCCCTTTTCTACTTTCAATAGAATAAAATATATACTTGCAGTGAGAAGAAAATCCCCAGGTTCTTCTTTAGGTTATTGTTACACACAAAGCAAGAGAAACAGGTGTGCATATGAGTTACAAGTGCAAGCCTTAAGGATTCCTGGTAGGGGTCCAGTATGGTTGAGATGGATGCTCCTGTTTCCTGCATCCACCCCTGACAGTTACTTCTCAGCAAAAATAGTAAAGATATGAGTCACAAGGACCCTTTCTTCCCATGGATTCCCTGGGGGTGGGGGCAAATTGTTTTCATCCTGAGTTAGTGCTGACAGGAAAGCAGCTGGATGAAAATCTGTGACCATATCACACTGCTCCACAGCATGTTCACATCATGGACATGGCAAGAGCCTTGTCAAGCACCATCCAAGGTGCTAAAAATTGATAATAGACCATTCTTGGAGACTTTGTTTACAGGAAAGAACTATCCTTCTAAAATCTCCATCCTCCTTCATCTTCCCAAGCAACCTGAACACATGCCAGCTATCACTAAGGCAAAGACCACACTTATCTGTAAACATGTAGGACAGCCATAGTGGTGTTTCTCCAGAGCCCCTGCCTTGTGGAAAACAGAGACAGAAGGGCTGCTGAAAAGGTTATGCCCATCTCTGGAGATTTCTTAAATTCATTTAGTGCTCATCTTTCACAGAAACATGGGACACCCCCTCAATCACACCATGTTAGAGAAGTCATGGCTTCCTCAAAGTCCAAAATACAGCACTGTCAAAATGGTTTCCACTCAGTTCCACAGAATATGTCCTCAAAAATCAGGAATCAGCCTTTTATGAAAGCTATACCCTCAGTCATACCCACCATATCCCAGACACACACTGGGCCACCATGAGGTTGCTGATGTCTGGCCAGGCTCAGCTGCAGAAGAGAAGTCTCCTGAGTGCAACTTTGACATCCTTGTTTCTCAGAGTGTAGATGAGGGTATTCAGGGTGGGTGCCACAGATGTGTAGATGACCGATACCACCTTGTCCTTGTTCAGGGCATAGCTGGACGCAGGACGGATGTAGGTGTAAATGACAGTGGAGTAGTACATGCTGACCACTAGCAAGTGGGAGGAGCAGGTGGAGAAGGCTCTCCACTTGCCTTTGGCAGACCGAATGTGAAGGATGCTGTTGACAATGAAGCCATAGGAGAGAACTGTCACAGAGAAGTTCCCCACAGCCAGGAGTAAATCTGCTGCAAAGGCCATGGCCTCATTCAGGTGAGTTGGGGAGCAGGAGAGTTTCAGAAGAGGAGGGATCTCACAAAAGAAATGTTCAACTATGTTGGACTTGCAGAACTGCAGACCCATGGTGAGGCAGCTGTTGATTGAGGTGTTGGTGAGGCTGATGGCCCACACAACCCCAGCTAGGAATGCACACATGTGTGGTCCCATCAATGCACTATAGTGCAATGGCTGGCAGATGGCCACGTAGCGGTCATAGGCCATGGCTGAGAAAAGCAGCAGCTCGGCCCCCATTGACCACGTAAAGAAGAAGAGCTGTGCCATGCAGCCCCTGTAGGAGATGGTCTTGCTTGCTACCATGATGCTTAGCAGCTTGGGCAGGATGGTGGAGGTGCAGAGGATGTCCACCAGGGCTAGATTAACCAGAAAAAAGTACATGGGGGTGTGCAGAGCTGGGCTGGCACTAATGGCCACCACAATGAGCAGGTTTCCTGAAAGAGCAGCTGTGTAGAGGAAGAGGAAGGCAAAAAAGAGCAGCGTTTGTAGGCTAGGCCCAAGGGAAAATCCCAAGATGAGGAATTCAGTGACCAGTGTCTGGTTCAGCCCAGTACTGTGTGTGAACTGTGGATCCATTGGGGAAACTGCATTGCCTTACTGGCTGTACATGTTTTGTACAGCCAAAGTCCTGTGATTTTAGCTTATTCTAAAAAGAACAAAAAGTCAACACTACATTGTCTGGCCGCATCCAAGCCATACCATTGGTGAGAGGGTCTTTGCAAGTGACTTGTTCACTGGTCATCAGATCATTGTCCCTCCCAGCTGGGATGCCACTGGAGCTGGAGGAGCAGGACCACTGCAGAGACCAAGACCCCTCTTCCACTGCAGCCTGGCTATTCCTCTCCTATGCAGCCCCAACACACACACACACACACACACACACACACACACACACACACACACTTACTTGGATCACAGCCAAAGCTCTGAAGCTGCTTATAAAGACACAAGATGAACTTTAAACAGTGTAATCACATGGTCATGTGTACCAACTTCCAAAAATCCAGATAACAGTAGATTGTTTCAATGTTTAAACAAATTATTCTTTAAACTTAAAGTTACTAGTGCTTGTTTTCAAATTTTCTGATTTAGATTTCATCTTACCTCTGGTCTGCCACCGTGGTAATGTTTGGGAAACATACAACCTTCCCAGATTTACATTAAGGACATGTCCTTGTCCATCTGGCCACAGAGTAACAGATCTGTATATCACCCAGGGAAGTACTGATACATTTTAACTGGCATCTGCTGCATTTAAGGAAGAGACAGAAAGAACCTAACACAAACAGGTGGTATGCTGCAATTTGGTCATATTGCTCTTTTGGGTTTTTCACATAATTAGAAAAATCTCATCCTCAAAAAAAGAAACCAGCCAATGGAGTCACACTTGGTCATAAAATAAAATGAAAATCTTCACCATTTTCAAAACATTGTCATATATATATATATATATATATATATATATATATATATATATATATTCAGCATCCCATTACAGCAGGTGCTTACAAAAGATGTTAAATTTATTTCTGGAATTCCTGTTGTCCTTCGAAGAAATCCTCTTTTACTACCATGAAAAAAATATAAGGTCATCAGCTTTTATTAGGAAACTTGTTTTAAAATAAAAACTAAAAAGGGTAGAGTGAGTGATATTTGTATGAGTGAAGAAGGTAAGATGCTTGTGATCAGGACCACAGGTTTATATAATCTGTAATACCCAAAGACAAGTGATTACTATGAAGGGCCATGGGCCTGCAGGGACCAATTAGGCAAATCCACCTGCTGCATGTAGGGAAACTATACCTGTACTCAGGAGCCCCTGGAGAAGCTGACCAGTGCGTGGGACATATCCATTCTCTTCACTGGAGTTTGTCAAGACTGGTGCTGCTTGGCTGGGGCAGGGCTGCTGCTATGCACTGCTACCCAAATACTGGCTGTCCAGCAGCCATATCTGTGACTGTGATTCTTGACACCTGTGTGCGCCAAAGCCAGAACTCCTGATCCTCCTCTGTCACTGCAGTATGGGGTCCAACCACTTGTGTATTCATTAGAAATTTGTTAATTACAGCCAATCACCAGGTCCCAGATGGGCTGCATGAATTCAGAGCTGGGCTAGCCTTTCTATCCCATCAACCAGCAAAAGACATGGCCAGCACATTTGTCAGGGAGGCTGCAGTGGTGGTTGTGGGAGTGCTGCCCATTCCTTTCATATACCTAGCTCCCTTCTGACCCTCTGTACAAGGACAGAAGTACAGGTGCTGAGGCCACATCACGGCCTGTGAGAAGAGGGACATGTATTCATGTTCCTATCCCAGGGCCTGTAGCAATGAACAGTTGATATAAGACTGGGAATCTAGCCTCCTGGGCCCGGACAACCTGATGCTTCTGAGATCTCTGAGAGTGAACACTGATGGTTGGCTCATTCACCTTCCCTAACTGCTCTTTTTGATGCTCCCCTATAATTAGTTCTCATACCCAGTACTCATCTCAAAATCAACCCCCGAAGGCACTCTTCTGAATCATGCTAGTGGTGACTGATACGAGTCAGGGGACAAACAGCTGATAATTCTCTGAGACAGTAACACAAGTGGAAGTGCACATTACAGGTAATGATGAACTGGAGGAGAAAGAGTTTTGTGGGCCGCCTTTTCCCTACAGGGGATGTTGCATGGTTTTTCAAGAGTGAAACCCTAGCAACTCCAGGATCTTTTACAAGGGCCTCTGCTCTCACATTGCATCTGTCTGGGAGTCATGGCAAGACAGATGTGAGTTTCTCCTCCCCTGTTTTCACAATCTCCTCCTTCCTGGCAGTGTCTCTTCATCTGTCTCCTTTTAGGACCATGGATGAGGGCAACATGGGATACATTTAGCTTATAGCAACTGCCAATTTGGCTATTTTGTATCACTGTAAATAAAAGCTGACACCTATGGTTTTGAAGTCTCAATCAAATATATAGTCCTAAAATTACCACAAAACTATAAGTAAAATGTGCAGTCTAGCATCAAACTTCCCTGGAAGAACACATGCATGCTACTCTTTCAACAGATGATCACTGAATACATGTCACAGGTGCCTGATATCCTGCAGCATTGTGCTCTGTGCAAATAAGGCACAAGGCATCTTCTCAGACACAGTGCCTACATTTTAGTGCAGGGAACATTCATTGCTCTACTAGCATTTATTAACTGCCTACTGTATACCAATTGTTGTAGACGTTGGCTATTGTCCTGAGTCAAAAGATGAAGCGGTAAAATATAAAAGTAAATAATAAAATAGTAAGCATAAAAGATAATCAAAATGCCTTCAGATAATGACCCTTCATATAGAGGAAATGAACAGAATAATGTGATGTGACTCCTGGAGGAAAACTCTCAGATCAGGGTAAAGAAGGTGGACAGGTATCATTTCATCTGAGATCTGAATTTCAAGGTTCTAGTCCAGTGACAGAAGCAGCAGTGAGGACCATCAGTCATGTTTGATGGACAGAAAGCTGACGGAGTTGGGAAGGGAGAGAGGAGTCAGGAAACAAGACTACAAAGGGAAACTACATTATATAGGACCTTGGAGAATTGGTGTGGAGTCTGATTTGGTGCATGGTGTAAAAGTAATCAATTTCTCTGTCTGCATTTTAGATGTTAAGCTGTGGAAATGGAGAAAGATCACCAGGGAAGTGACTTGCTTACTTCAAACACTTGCTCTCTAGGTCAAGACTTCTTTGTCTCCCTGCTATATAGGAGGTATAGAACATTCATGCCCAGGTTCTCTCCAGCTTCCCTAGGTGCTCCCCAGGACCATATTGTGCACAAGAATGTAGAAGCGGCTGTGCCCTGAGCTGGGCCCTTGTGCATGAATTTGTTCACAGCCATACTTACCAGGGAAATCTGCCTGGACCAGGATAGAGCTGGTTCCAGCTGACTCAGATTTTTTGTAGAAGCAGACTCTGAAAACCATCGGTCTGGAGCACAAGCTACCCCCAGGATGTGGACAAGGATCTCTTATCCCACAGGACTCTCCAGCAGCACTGCTGATGCGTACCATATGTAGAAGTGGTTACCTCACCCATAGAATCAGGAAACATTGGGTCAAACTTATAGACAAGGGTTTGCTTGCTGAAGGACCTTTCAGAATCTAGTTATTACTGTCTCTCCAAGAGTTTGACAGAGAAATGAACACTTTTTTCTAAGGTTTCTGGTCACAACTTTGCCTTTTATTGGACAGTTTCCATCTAGTCTACTTAGAAGTCAATCTAGGGCTAGACATTGGCTTTCTGTGGCATGGCCCTGGGAAGGAGTGAGAGGAAAGAAAACAAGGCTTTCAGAGTCAGCCTGATGTCTCGGCTCAAGTGTGAGGAGGGGGATCTGAGGAAGCAGCCCTCAGGGTTCTGCTCTGCACCCCATACATGGTTTCTCAATAACAGCCATTCTTTCTGGGTCAAGGTGGAATCTTTGTATCTCTCCAATAACCAGTGATGTTGAACATTTTTTCATGTATTTATCTTCTGTTCATATTTCTTCATTTGACAAGTGTGTATTCATCTCAGATGCCCAAGTTTGGGTCTTTAAATCTGACAGAACTGACTTTTTTGAGTTCTTTGTGTGTTCTTGATAGTAATCCTTTGTCTGAGGAACAGCTGGCAAACATTTTCTCCAACTTTATGGGTTGTCTCTTCACAGTGTTGGTAGTTTCTCTTGCTGTACAAAGCTTTTCAAATAAGATGAGATCTCAGTTGTTGATTCTTTGTGATAGTTCCCAGGCAATTGGAATTTTGTTCAGAAAATCTTTATATACACCTATGTCTTCAAGAGTTTTACCTACTCTGTCTTCCAGAAGATTTGATATTTTTGTTCAAATATTAAGATCTTTGAACCATCTGAGTTTAGCTTAGTGCATGGTGAAAGATATGGGTCAAGTTGTACTCTCCATCATGTGTAGAGCCAGTTTTTCCAGCACCATTTATTAAAGAGGTGATCTTTCTTCCAGTGCATGTTTGGCACCTTTGTCAAAGATAAGATGGCTTAGTATATCTGGAGTTGTTTAAGCATCTTCCAACTTGTTCCATTGATCTTTGGGTGTGTTTTTTGCCAGTACCACACTCTTTTATCACAGTAGCTTTATAGTATAATTTCAAGTCAGGGATTGTGATGCTCCCTATCTTGGTCTTTGTTGCCACAGATTGCTTTTGTTATTTTAGGACCCTTTGGTTCCAGATGAATTTTAGGATTGTTTTCTCTAATTCTGTGAGATATGCTATTGGAATTTAAATTGGGATGCATTTAATCTGTATAACAGTTTTGAAAGTATGGCCATTTTCACTATATTGGTTCTTCCTACTCATGAGCATGGGATAGCTCGCCATTTTCTAATGTCCTTTTCAATCTCCTTTTTCTGAGTACTGTAACTTTCAACATAGAAATCTTTTATATCCTTCCTTAGATTGATTCTTAGGTATTTCATTTTTTTTGGATGCTATTGTAAAAGGTGTTATTCCCCGATTTTTCTTTCTGTGAGTTTGTTATTCATGTACAGGATGGCTATTGATCTTTGAGTGTTGACTTTGTAACCAGCTACATTACTG